TGACCCAAGTAGGAAGCTGCAATGGTCTGAATGTTTGTGTTCCCCCAAATTCACATGTTGAAATCCCAACCCCCAAAGGTGATGGTATTGGGAGGTAGGGTCTTTGGGAGGTGCTTAGGTCATGAGGGTGGAGCCCTCATGAATGGGATTAGTGCCCTTATAAAAGAGACCCCCCCACAGAGCTCCCTCGCCCCTTCCACCACATGAGGACACAGCAAGGAGATAGCCATCTGCAACCCAGAAGAGGGCTTTCACCAGGCCCCGGCCACGCTGGCACCCTCATCCTGGACGTCCAGCCTCCAGAAGTCTGAGACATGAGTTTCTGTTGTTTATCAGCCACCCAGTCCATGGCATTGTGTTATAGCAGCCTGAACAGACTGAGACAGAAGCACACCTTGAGCTGGTCTGCCTGGTGACCCCTGTCGTCTTACCTCAGACCCTGGCCTGCCAAGATGCCCGAGCCCCATCCTGTTTGCATGGGTGTCTGGTGTCCTAATGTCCTGCCCAGCTCTTGCTTGCTTCCTCTTCCGGGAACTGGATCCTTTCCCTGTAACCTCCTGTGGCCCCTCCAGGAAAGAACAGGTCACTAGGGACTGACAGTCCTTGTCCCACCAGTTCACTGAGATCCTCACAAATGTCAGTGACTGATACTCGCTGAACCAGGCTACACACTTTGCACAGCGTGCCTTGGCCGACAAGGTCCCAAAGCATCTTTGTTTCCCCAGACACCCCGACCCCAGCCCCAGACTTCAGCTCAGTCCCTGCGCCACTAGGACCCCGTCCCCTCCAGATGATAGCGTGTCTTGCACCCAAGCCCATGACTGTTGTTATCCTGGCCACCAGGTAGACAGTTACTGTCTTTATCTATCATTAATCACACTCGAGGAATTTAACAAATTCTGTCTTTTGTCACAAATATTTGTGGCAAGAACAGACCTCAGATAGGCCTGACACTGAGGCCTGTTGAGGGACCTCCTAGGGAATGGGTCTTCCATCACCCAACTTTGCAGGAAACACTCAGGAACTCATTGGAGTTGTTTACACCAGCTGTTTGCACCTGGTGAGCAAAGCACATGGTCACCGCCTCCTCATCCATCAGGAGACCTGGGGCAGGAAGCCAGATGGGAATTAAACCCAGCGTGACAATGGCAAAGGAAGCCCCTAAGCTTGGCAGGACCCTCAGTCTATCAGGTGGCCTTATCCACAGCTTTACGTCCCCGTGGCGGCCTGGGGGCTCTGAAACCACACCTCTGCCTGCAGGTAGGCCTGTCACACCATTCACGAAGGAGGCAACTTCGAGAGGTCCTTTAAGGGGAGGGTCACTGAGGGTTACTGCAGCCTGAGCGAGGCATAGGTTGATGGGGGGTGACTGTGAGTTAAGTGGTCAGAGGGGATGGAAGCAGACACTGGGAAGAAGGTGGCTGAGAGCCTCTCAGATGCTAGTTTGGATCTGACTTAAGGGTGCAAGGAAGCTCTCTGTGGGGCCCAACTGGGAGGGATGCATCCCCAGTGCACTCTTTGAGAAAGGCTGATTGGGTGGGGTTTCCAAGACTGAGGGCCCCAGGAAGAGGCTGAAGACAAGGGCATAGTCAGTCATTAGGCTCTGACAACAGTCTAGATGGGCGTGATGGTCAGCAGACAGGAAGGAGGCCAACGATGAAGGAAGCATCAACAAAACTTGGTCCAGCAAAGTTCCCTGTTCACCCAACACCACAGAGATGGTGGGGGAGGGAGGAGGAGGCGGGGCTGGAATTCATGGCTCTCCCCCTGGACTCCCCAGTTCCGTGATCTTTCCACAATACACCACACCTTCTGAGCCCTCCGGAAACATCCAGTCTGAGACAGACAAGAGCAACGACCCAAGCAATGCCCACGTGGGGTCCAGGGTAGAGACCAATACACCAATCCAGACAGTGAGAAACGCACATCAAAACTGCACAAAAGACACTGGCATTTTAGGGGCAGGATCTGAGTTTGAACCTTAGTCAAATGAGGATGGAACACTCCCCTTGCTGACCACACGTAGCTTGTGAAGATGAAGTGGGATAACCAAATTCGTTTGTAAGATGAGTAAAAATGCTTCATGAGTGAGTATCGCGACCACAAAGAACAAAGTGCACCTGTTAGAATTTCACCTCCTTTCCAGCGCGCAGACTTTCGTACAGACCACGGGACATCGGCTTAACTGCTTGGAGGAGTCTGAACTTTTGGGTGAGGAAGGGGGAGCTGTTAGAAACAGTGGATACAGCTTCATGGTGGAAAGGGCTTCATGGCCAAGACAAAGAGAACCTGCCTAGCCTTGTACGTGGGAGGGACTCACTAAATACTTGTTAATGAGTTTTTGATTGTCGACACTCTATCTTGGATCTTTACCACTGTCTGGAGCTGTGCAAGATAAGTGAATAATGTAACGCAGATGGACAGCAAGAAGACGTTGCTGCATCATCACTGATTTCCGGTTCCTTTCTCCCTACTTCCTGCCCACACACTCAACAGCTCCTCTACTCTGGATCCCCCGCCTCCTTCCACTCTGTGGCATCCTGCTGGAGTCATTTGGCAAACAGTTCCCACCAGCCCATCATGCTCTTCAAACCCCACAGCGTAGAGAACGAACTTGAGGGCATGGGGGCGGGGAGAGGAAGCTGGGACAAAGTGAGAGAGTGGCATGGACTTATACATACTATCAAATGTAAAACAGATAGCTGCGGGAAGCAGCCGCATAGCACAGGGAGATCAGCTCGGTGCTTTGTGACCACCTAGAGGGGCGGGATAGGGAGGGTGGGAGGGAGGGAGACGCAAGAGGGAGGAGATATGGGGATATATGTATATATATGGCTGATTCACTTTGTTATAAAGCAGAAACTAACACACCATTGTAAAGCAATTATACTCCAATAAAGATGTTAAACAAACAAACAAACAAAAAAACCCACAGCGGTGTCAGGTTGGGAGCTGTTCAGGGGATGGAGGGCATTTCTTTGCACTCCTGCCTTTTCCCCCATGCGAAGGGAGTGTGATTAGTTGTAATCCCCTGCTTTGTCTTCCCACCTCACTCCTTTCTCCTCCCGGGTGAGAGAAGGGGAAGAGCTTAGCCCATTGGTCGGTGTGGAAGGTAACACGGGCATCTACTCTGTCCTTTTGTGGGAAGCAAACGGTCTGCAGGAGGGGCTCTTCTGAGTCCCGTGCCCCACCCCCTCCAATGTCCTAAGAACTGCAGGACTGCCCTGCCCACTGCTGCCTGCCACCGGGAGGCCAGTCTGTCTGGATTCTGGATTAGGAAGCCTATTGGGCTCTCCTGCTAAGTTGCTTCCTCCAATGCAGCCTTTTCCAGCTTTAAAGGTGAAATCTCAGCTTTGGTCTCCATCTGCCTTTGCCTTACTTCTCAGCTGGTTCAATAACCAGGCCAGTAAGATGGTACTCTTTACTGGATACCCCTTTGAACTTCAGCAAATACTTTTCCACTGTCTGTAAAAATAAGCAGTGTCCTCAGCCTGACGTTCAAGGTCCTCCACCAAAACGTCTGGGCTCAGCCAACTCCCCGGGCCCAGTTCCCCACCATGCCGTGCCCTGGTCATGCCGGGACCCTTGAGCACCACCGCATGGGCTCCCCGGCCATCCTGGACGTGCTTCGTGTTCTCTTCCACCTGCTGAGCTCTGCTCCTTTGGCTCCCTGGATTTCAGACCCCCCAATTTTACCCATCGTACCAGCCCAGCCCACACTCCACTTCTCCCTGCGCCTTTCCTGACCCTGACGGGTCAGATCCCAGCCTTCAGTGGCGGCTTTCTCATTCTGTTTCCTCTGCCGGGAGCCCTCCTCTCCTCCTGCCCAGCCCCTCCTCCCCACGCACATGGCTGACATCCATGCCCATTTATTTCCGAGCTCTCCCACTGGATGCCCTCACCCGGAGCCTCTCCTGGGCCCCCAGGGGTGTGGGATGCTCGTCCTAAGTGCTTCCATGGAATCCTGTATCCCAGCAAACACACTGAAGTGGAATTCTCTGCTCACTTTTCTTAAGAAACGTATGAAGGAACACAGATAACACTTCTATATAAACATGCACATGCCCAACGACGGCGGAACGGCCAGATGGTAAATCGCCTACATCCACATAGAAACCAAAGTCAGTGCCCACCGTGAGTAGCAGCCACGCCAGGGAAGGCACTGAAAGAGTCACTGGCATTAGTGAAACCTTTCCTGATTCTCTGAGCCTCCAGGAAAGGTTCTCTTGAAGAGGGGTTACCCTGTCAAGTGTCCGCTTCCAACTGGTTAGTAAAGACATCACATCATTAATTCAACTCCCCGGAGGTGAGTGAGAGGCTGGGGCTGCTGGTCCCTGGATTCAGCGAGGGAAAGAGATGCCTCCAGGCCACCGAGGATAAAGGCAGTGAGGAAAGGGTCTCGCCCTCCACCCCGACGTCTAAGAAGCACAAGTGCCAGAAAGTGGTGCTCAAGCAACGGCAGCCTGTGGCTCAAATGACACGTCTGAATATTGAGGCCACTACATTTTTCTCACTGGCTGGAAGCTTGGGAAGCCTGATACACCTCTCTGAAGTCTGCTCAGGGCCTGGGGAATGCGTGGATTTGTTGGGACCTCTGACAACATGGGGATAGATAAGACCCTCTTGGCCTCAAGTGTCAAGAGGCTTTCCCAACTTTATAAACACTGCTGGGAAAATGAGGAGAACTGAAACTCTGCCTTTTTTTAGCAGGAAGTGTTGAACACCTCTTGCTTCTAGGCTGAGCTAAAAAGGACTGACCCCATGATTAATCTTGGGGGATAACAAGGCCATCAACCTGGGCTATTGATCGAGAATGTTCCAGGAAGGATTCCTGCCAGGGCGGAGGCCCTACAAGGACACACCCTGCACCTCCTCATTTCTCCAAGTGCACTGGACTTCCTTTTTCTTATGTTGGGTCATTGGCACCAAAAACCCTGCACACACTGAACTGGCCACCTCAAGGGGGCCCGGGGCAAACATGCAATGTGGTGACACGGTACCGATTTTGGTGAGCCACTTGGCCACGGCGCCGTAAATCTCATCCAGGATGAGGATGACCACGAGGTTGATGATGACCGCCGTGGCCGTCACAGTCACCCGGACGTTGGAGCGTGTGGCCTTGTTGAGCGACAGAGCAGCAGCAGTTGTGATGCGATAGACAACGACCCCGAAGACAATGGAGAACGTCAGGGCAATCTGTTCGGGAAAACAGGGAGATAGTCACACGTCAGCGGACAGCAGTTACTGCCCACCTATTACTCGAGTCTGCTACGTCAGGTGCTATTAGTCTGGAGTCCACTGGTGGGCAACGAGGCACTGCCAACCTCGGAACTCATGCAAATTCCCGGTACGAGGGCATTTTCCAGGGGAGAATGTCTTTCATGTTTATCGGATTCCAAATGGCCTATAACACACACCCACAAACTAAGGTTACCACTGGGGGTGGGGAATACAGAGGTAGGGTAAAAAAAGGGTTATTATGGGATTCTATGAAATCACGTATGCTAACACATATATATGGAATTTAAGGGAAAAAAATGTCATGAAGAACCTAGGGGTAAGACAGGAATAAAGACACAGACCTACTAGAGAATGGACTTGAGGATATGGGGAGGGGGAAGGGTAAGCTGTGACAAAGCGAGAGAGTGGCATGGACATATATACACTACCAAACGTAAGGTAGATAGCTAGTGGGAAGCAGACGCATAGCACAGGGAGATCAGCTCGGTGCTTTGTGACTGACTGGAGAGGTGGGATAGGGAGGGTGGGAGGGAGGGAGACGCAAGAGGGAAGAGATATGGGAACATATGTATATATATAACTGATTCATTTTGTTATAAAGCAGAAACCAACACACCATTGTAAAGCAATTATACTCTAATAAAAAAGTAAAAAAAAAAAAAAGTGTGAAACTTCTGAAAATTGTAAAGCACCACAGAATTTAAAGAGACTTTCATTCAATTACAAAAAATTGTAAAACCTGTTTAGAAGTCTTATAAAAACTAATATCTAAAAAAGTAAAAAAAAAAAAAAAAAAAGAAAAAACTACGACTGAAAAGCTGGTAGTGTGTGCGACACAATGTGGTGTGATTTCTTTCATTAGGGAGCTTTCGAACTACTATGGGGATAAGTTCAACCAGAGTAAATAGTAAATAATGCAGTCGTGTCAAATGAAGAGTGTAGCTGTGAACAGGACTGAGAGTACAGAGGGGCTCAGGGAAGAGTTTGTGGAGCTAGTGGATTTCAGCTGGGCCTTCGATGAAAGGCAATAGGTAGCCCTTGAAGATGTTTGAGCTGGGAAGGGTTAGGGTCAGAGCTTGGTGGGGTGGGTGCAGGAAGGCTGCCCAAAGGAGAAAAAAGGGAAAGAAACCCCGAGCAAGACTTTTAGACTCTCAGTCCTCAGGGTGAATAAAGCATCGCTCTAAGATTTCTCTACCAGGGGAGTACTCAGATTTCTCACTGGCACAGCGATCTCTGGCACTATCCTTAGAAGGCAAGTTTACCAGCCCCTTGACCTCGAGGGCCAGCCCCATTTCCTTTTTCCAGAGCCTAAGAATAATAAGGTGCTCTCCCAGAGACCAGCTCCCCTTCCCCTCCCACCACAGTGGAGGAAGGGCCATTTCCACGGAGCACAAGGATTTGAGGAGAAGACAGTGCCCGGCAGAGGGCTGAGGGCGAAGGGCAAGGTGTGCGACCTGCTCAGAGCAGAGTTCTAATGCGTTTCTGCCCAGCGGAGTCTTATTTCTTAGCATTCTTTCTGCAGGAAAGGAAAGATTCAGGTCACATTTCTTCTGGGGGTGGGGAAGGGGGGTGGGTGCTGGCTGTGGAGGACTAAACGGAAAACATGGTGAGAGAATGGGGCAGGTGAAAGGTTCCTCTGAAAAAACACACTGTCCTGGACGACGGATGTCCCCTCCCTAGAAAAAAGGGAAGGGAAGGGGAGGCGTGGGGAGGGGACTCTGGCTAGGCAGTGCTTTGCAATCAGTGTGAATGACACTCCGGTAGGCTGTGATGGGAAATGGGTTGCAGATGTGTCCCTCTATGGAAGTCTTCGGACCTCTTGGGGTGCTGGCAGCAGCCTCAGCAGTGTGTCCCCATGTGCTTCACAGACATTAGTGCTTGCCTTGTGGCCACAGTGAGAAAAAGAAGCCCTCTGTAAGAAAGGCAGAATGGCAGCAGCCTCCAGGTAGAGGGTGGTGTGTGTGTGTGTGTGTGTGCGCGCGTGCGCGTGTGCGTCAGTCGGGGCAGACGAGAGGTTAGATGGGAAAAACACTCCGTGGGGAGGCCCCTCCTTTGATGGGGGTGCAGGTGGGCGCAGCAGAACCCCAGCCTCCAGGACCGGGGAGGGATGACTACCACGGACGTGGGGAAACCTGGACATGACACCGCCGCTCTCCAACAATGTAGACATTGCACTTCCCTGTCCTCTGGGATTGTCACTGCCGGACAGTATGGGCCTGGAAAATGTGGCGTGAGATTCTTTTCCCCCCAAATAGCTTTTGCAGTGAAGGTCAGTGATGGAAGTATTGATGCGGGGCGTGCCAGGGCATCGAAGAGCGACTGTGTGTGTGCCTATTTGGGGTTGGGTGTTGGGGGATGACTGGGGAAAACAACGATGCCAGAAACGTCCCTTGCCTTGGGGTTCAGGGTGTGGGGAGAAGATCAGCTTCTATCCTCCTTCTCTGAGAGGGCAAGCTGGGGTAAGAACACGCCTCCCCGCCACTCAGAGTGTGATTTGGACCTGCTGCTCAGCTGGGAGCTTGAGAAACAGGCCGAATGGCCAGCAGCCTAGACGTACTGACTCAGAATCTGCAATTTAACAAGATTCCTATTCTTCTAGAGGCACTGCTCCACTCACTCGGGGAGGCCCTTTCCCCATCCCCAGCCACCCCCTGGCTCCACCTCCATGCCCCTCCCCAGCCCTCAGATGCTGGGCTCTGCCATCCTAACTTCTCTGATCTTGATTTTCCATCCCATTATAGAAATCCACTTCTGAACCGCTCCTTTGGTGTTTCCCACAAGCACCTCAAGATTCACAGTTTTCAAGCCAGAAGAGCTTGGAGAGCGCCGACCCAGTCCCAGGACCATTTTGCAGATGTGGAAACAGGCGTGGAAAGTGAAGCAATTTGCTCAAGGTCACAAGGCACAGACTACAACCCCAGCCTCCTAGATCACTGTAGGAATTAAAGGGTTTTAGCATTTAGGGGTCATCCACGTCCAGCCTTTGATCTCATATACAAGGAAACTGAGGCCCAAGAAGCAGCAATGGGATTGGTCCAAGGTCCGGGTGGTACATGGCAAAGCCAAGATACTCATGGTCATAACATCATCACCAACAACAGCTAATCCATGTGTGCTCTCTTGATGTCACGATTCGAGCCATATTTGCACTAGCATGAATCCCTACAACAGTTACGCAAGATATGCCTTTTGCAGACGCAATTCAGTGCCATCCAGGATTTGAACCCTGCTCTATGGCTGCAAGGTCAACAATCCCATCCTGACACTAGAACCCAGGTCTTTTGGCACCAAGCCCAGTACTACTTTCATCACTTTGGCTGTATTATTGATTTTGTTTATTAAATTCAACAAATATTTTCTGACCACTTATTGTGGTGCAATAAGTGTGTTTCATGTATGTGATCAGGTCCCCCAACTAAGCCAACAGGGGGGATTGGTCTTCTGCTACACTCTGTGCCTCACGCCAGTGCAGAGAGGTGCCTCCTGTGTGGAACCTGTTTGGTAAAGACTTGCCGACACTCAGCTCTGGGCCATCTCACCCCCCTGCACTTGGTCGCCTGCATCATGGCCTCTGTGGTTCTTGGTGGGTTCTTTATTTATATACAATTGTTAAAAGTTACTTTCCATTTACAGTTATTACAAAACATTGGCTATATTCCCTGGGTTGTACAATACATTCTTGTGGCACTTGCCGTTTGAATCCCACAGCTTTACTTGGGGACACAGCCACATTGCAGTGGAAGTCAGGCTACAGATTCCAGAGCCCTAATTTCACACTGTGAGAGCTGGTCTGGTCCCTACCGTCCAGGACTTGCATTCTGAGAAAACCTTGCACACAGACAGCAAGGGTGAGCCTAGTAGCAGCTGGACAGGGTGACGGGCCTCAGCTCAGGAGCTTCTAGAATGTTCTGGGCACAGAGCAGGGGGATTAGTCAGAGAAAACGTCACAGAAGAAGCTGTGGGACCATTTCCTATGGGGAGGCTTGGAGGAAAGAATAAGCAGAAGCAAGTAAAATGCACAGGGCAGAGCAACCCCTGCTGCACCAGTGGGAGAGCAGCCCGGTTGAGGGCACAGCCCATAGTAGTAGCTCCATTTGAAAAAATACAGGCACCAACAACTCTATCATTGACATACCAAGTTGTCTCTGGCACCTGCTTAGCTAATTTATTTTCTCGTGCAGTCATTCATGAAACATGTCTTGAGCCCCTACTGTGTGCCAGTTATTGTTCTGGGTATGAGGGATACAGCAGTGAACAAAACAGACAGAAATTTCTGCCCTCGTGGCGTTGACCTCCTAGTGGGGAAAGACAGACAAACTCATAAGCAGGTAACAAAGATAGTATGTCAGGTGCGATCAATACTCTAGAAACAAAGCAAAACGGGAGCATCGAGGTAGGTTGCAACTTAAAACAGGGTGGGGTCAGGAAAGGCATAGGTGAGAAGGTGACATGTCAGCAAGGACCTAAAGGAGGAAATCGGAGAGCCAGGGGTTCAGGCAGGGGGTGGCTGAAGCAGTGAGCGAAGGGGGAGAGTGGGAGTGGAAGATGGGTGTTGGAGGGGAGGAACTGTAGTATAAGGATGTCGGCCTCTGCACTTCATGAGAAGGGAAGCCTTGGAGAGTTCTGAGCAGAGGAGTAACGTGACTTATTTGAAAAACATCAACAGGGGGACAGCGTAACCGACAGGCAGACGAGTTAGGAGATCACTGTGATAATCCAGGTGATGGAGGAGGGTTTCTGATGGCTGGTTCCCGAGATACAAACAGAAGTCAATGACTGTCTTGGGCGTGGGAGTAAAGCTCAGGCACCCAGCTCTAGAGGCAGGACATTGCCTCTGGTAATCCCCTCCCACATAAAAAGGAAACAAAAAGAGGGTTAATTCAAAAAGGAAAGAAACTTTAGCTCAACACAATGGGTTGGAGAAGAAAGAGAAAGTGCATCTTTGTCCATCCTGG